ATTTACTATCAGAAATAGTAAATCGAAATTGAGATGGCGGCTTTAGCTTTTTGGCGCCAATTAACTCAGACTTTTTAACTTTTATTATATCTCGACTACATTTTATCAAAAAGGAATTCGTTTTCTGAATAATCAAGGAATAGCATAATGCAAATATTCCAAGGGTTCGTAATGATATTAAAATCTGTATCGTTAATACTGTCATTGTTAAAACCTAATATTAATCAGAAATATTCAAATTGCGTCAGATAATGTTTATTTAAATATTTATTTCACTTCTTGCCACTTATGCTATATTTTTCCTATACATATCACTAATGCTTTTGTAGTGGTGTATTATGAAAATATACTGAGTTATGAAAATTTCTTATGGATAATGTATCCCCAGAATCTATTCTTCCGAGGAGTTTCTTTCATAAAGGGAAATATATTTCTCTGAGATTCCTAGCCACTAAATCTCAAAGTTTGCCCCTTTTACGCATCTCTGAACCATCTTAAATCAAATAGTTTTTCTTTTCAGCTCGCATGAAGACATATGACTCATATTTTGCATATCCTTATTCTTTTTTTAACAGATGATAACTGAAAGGAGGTTTGTTATATCTCTATTAAAAAAGCTTTTAAAATAAATGTCTGTATTAATTTCAAAAACCAAACTTCGTGGTATATCTTAATTCTTCATTTAAATAGAATATTGATTTCTCTCGATGTTTTCTAAAATACTTTTACTTATAAATCAATTTTTTGTCTTATTTTTTCTCTTGAAATCTTAATCCGACCTGTCATGAATTTGAAAATAAGCAGATGTGTTGTAGTGGAATTTGGGCGATGACATTTCAGGCATGTGAAAGAACAGTACCTAGCAGCACATCTTCCTCGACTTTATTTGCCTTCTTAATTCAGAAAAGTCAGTTTTACCTTCAAAAGTGGGGGGAGGGGACAAGTCTGGTTCGGAGTTCTCCTGGCCGATTGTAAATGGTTTATATAGATATGCCTGCATCTAAAATGTTTATTTTTATTTTTTTAAGAACATTTTAATTCTATTTTATTTATTTTATTTTATTATTAATGTTATTATTATTTTCTTCCCCCATTATGATATTTTATTTTTTTCTTATTTCGCTGTATATTATTTTGTAATTACCATATTTATTTTTGATTCTGTAAAAATGGTGTGAATGTGCTCTCTGAACTAAATGTGTCCTAAATTGAGACAGATTGTAATATTTATCAATAAACAAATAACCTAAAATAAAGTTCAGGAAAGAAGATCTCTCATTCAGTCCCTTTTCAGTCCCCTCCTGATTGTCAGTTGTGGCTATGTCGTTTAGAAGTCTATTGTTGTGTCCGGGCAGTTTAATATTAAATCGAGAGTAAAGAATATTGATGTGTTGGTCGATAATTGACTAGTAATTCAGTATGTAAAGTTTTGTTGTTTGAACACCAGCCAGCTTTTATTAATCTTAAAATTGTAGTTTTCATATTTACGTCTTTTTTACGGAATCGTAAATCAATGAGGAGTAATACTAAGCATAATATGCTTAAGAGTTTGAGTATGTGTATATATCTAGTTTTTTTTGCAAGTTTTAATTTTGAAAAAGTAAGTATAAATGAAGGTTCCAGCCCGCGCATTTTCTCCAAACTACTGGACCTAATTTTTTCAAATTTGGATATAAAATCAGAGGTCACCCAAGGATGATCCTCCTTCATCGACATTACTATAGACTGTAGCTCCTAAACGAATGTAGCGATTTCAATGAAATTTTGCTAAAGTCATTTTCTTGATGCCCTTTAAATTTATCTATATAACATACTTTAACGAAAAGAAGCTGGAAAAAAAGTTACGAGAGATCGTAAAATTTAATTCCGAATATCTCAAAAAGTATACACTTTTTTTGTGGATATTGTGATAAGATGTTTCAAAGGTATTATAAAAATATTTTTAGTATATTATAGTTTTTCAAAAGTTTATGGAATTACCTAAAAAAAAAAAAAAAAATGGTTAAAATCGGACAATTAGGAGCAAAGATATGGTCTCCAGTTTTTTTATATATCCTACTCCAAATGTTATATCCTTTGTTTGGTTTTTAAATTTTTTAATGTGTTACTGAAGTAATGATTTTTTTTTAGCATATAGTAATGATTAAGAAAAGTAATATGCTAATTTAGTTCAATAATTATAATCACCTTTGATTTATTTTTCTTTGTAACTAGGAAGGTAATGTTACTTTAGATTTATAGTTGTTTCGAAATAATAAACCATTGTGAAATCATTTGCAGGGTTTTTTCAAATACGACCAAGAAAATATTCCTTCATTTTTGGTGCTAGAAAAGAGAACTGATGAGGTCCATATAACTCAAAAGTGTTTACTATTTATTTCTAATTATTTGAGTTATAGCATTAACCAATTGGTTTGTGGTTTTACATTTCGTATTTTTATTTGTAAACTTAACCAGTTTCAGAAGTTTTAGTTTGAGGATAAAACATAACAGACATAATAGTGTTTAAGTTAAACTTCAGTATTAAAGAGTACATGAGATATTTGCGGACATTTCCCTTTAAAACGTTTAAATTACTGCCTCAAAGAGCAGAGACATGACTTACTATTTTAATCAAAATTTTAAGTTTCCATTAGGGGCAAAATGTTTCCTCAAGTTAGGAACGGAAAGTATCAAAGAGCGGCAAGTGCCAAGAGGGAGGAAATTGAGGCTTGGCGATCGGGCGGATGAAGTTTTTAAACAGCTCCTTCAGTCCCGTTATCTCGCCGAGTGCCGGTTTTGAACCTCTGGGACAGATAATGGCGAGGATTTGTGCTCTAATTTAGTGTAATTGTTGAGCGGTTTTAATCATAATAAACGGCGGCTAGAGATGGGCAAGGAGATGTAATAAGGACCCCCCTCTCAGTGAGTTTCCTTATTAGCCTCATGTTTCGGGATTAAAATCTCCCCTTTTAATTTATAAAGCCTCTTTTATTAATTTAATTTCATTATGAATTCTTCGCCAGGAAGCGCCTGTCGACATAGTAAAATCAAGAATTATGCAGTGCATTTTTAATGTTTAGCAAGCTAATATTAAAGAAATACAAAGCTTTTTATTTCTTCTAGATTTAGGCTCAGGGTAATAACTCTGGTAAAATTTAATTTTTCCAGCACCGCTTTAAGTTATTCTTTTAAAAAGTCTGCTATTGCTAAGTAAGTGCTTTCCTAATTATGAATACATTGCTATTGATTAATGTTTTTTTTATTTTAATCTCTTTCTTCAAACATTGTATTTAAATATTCCTAAGTATTTTTATGAATTATATTATATTGATGACAGTGCTTCGCTATTCGAAAATGTTTTTTTTTGTCCTTTCTTAGTTATATATATTGTAATTATAATTATTGTTACAGCATTATTTTAAAGAATGTTTTACCTACATCACTATACTTAAATATTGTTTTATATTTAATTTTTTTATAATAGTGGATTAGTATTTCACTTTCGTAGGTATATTGAAAAGAAGTTGGTTGGGGTGTTCAGTCAAACAAAGAAACTAGTAAAAATAAATAAATTAATAATAATAAATAAATTAATAAAAATAAATAAAGAATGATAAGTATAATTACATTTCTCTTTATTTGCCTGAACACCCCAATTTTCTTTAATAATTTGTTAATAATTTTTTTGTACAATATTTTATTTTTGCTTGTAGTTGTAAAATATAGGGAACCTTAAAATGGACATAAAAAACCATAAACGTTGTTGAAATTCATCTAATAAATGTTTGAATTTCATAAAGAAGTGAAATTTTGTCACGTAAAATATAATAATTACATATAATGTAAATTCGAAGTCTAAACATTGGCCTCTTCTTTTACAAAATTATTTATGTATCTTTTAAAGTTCACTTGCAAAGCTTGTAAAGATTAAAAATGTTCCCTCCACCTTGATCAATAACCGTCTATTTCTTTTAGAGACTTGGGAATATCCACTGAAAAGCATAAAGTTTGAAACTCATATGCAGTACAAAATTCTTTCCTGGTATTTTTTTCCATTCATTCTCCGATTTTATATATAAATTATGTTTAAAAAAAACATGTGAATCGGAAGACTAGCATTGACAACAAACAATACATTTTGATTTATTATTTAAATCACATTAAATAAATACACTTCAAAAAAATTACATATTATTCGTTTCCACCTCAACTTTTGAAGGAACCTTTCTTCGCTTGCTGTGTATTGTTTAAAAAATTTATATTTACCATATTTCTGTCATAAATAAAAAAAAAATCTTATAATATTTCACTAATTTAATTTTGTTTTAAGTTGTTACTATTTCTATATATTTCAATATTTTAATATGCTCGATTAGAGCTCAAATCGCAATCTAAATACGAAAAATTTATATATCTCTTTTACCTAAACTTCAAATTGTAATATATTTATTTGAATTTGATAATTGTAGGTAACAGCAAAATTGATTAATCAAGAAATTATTTTTTTAAATTTAAGAAATATTTTCTGTTTAATTCTTTCATTTCGCTAAAAAAAATTACGTAAGGGTATTATACCATATATAGGGAACGGTGGATTTTATTAATAATCAATTTTTTTTCCGATAGAAATATTATTTCTGTTATTTCTCAATAATAATAAATAGCCGTGAATAGCTAATTTAAAAAAAGAAACCATCATTTTGCATCATCTGTCATCTAAATGAAAGGAATGTTTTTTAGAACTGTTTTATTTAGAGTGTTGTAATATTGATGTATGTATTAACTTTTTTTTCACTATTCTTTCAATAATTTAATTATTTTTAGTTTAATCACTACACATTACAGTGACTTAAAAGCTAGTGCGATATGCCACTAATTTGAATCTTCCGTCACAGGTGGTTTTCTTTTTCCATTCTTCCCGTTATGATTTTCTTGGAAGTGAATACCTAAAATTATACAATCTAAAGAAGGATGAATATTCGTTACCTTAAAGTATGGACAAAGTAATGAATTCTAACCTTTCAGATATGGGTTTTCCGCATCCTGCGCAGTCCTGAGTCCCCGTTTTCGCCTCCATTTTGTGACCTGGAACAGGAAAGGAAAAGGAGCGTGAATAAAAAAGAACCGATTAATTAAATAAATCTAAATTACAGGGAAGCGAGAAAGACGATAAACTGAGCCTAATGAAATTAACTTGAAAGTAATAAAATTAGTTTCATTCCGAAGTACGGAGAGTGTAGAGGGGGCTGGTGTCGGGGGAGGGGTGTGTAGACAAAAGACCCTAAAACCTCGGACGTCCCATCGGATTTAGAAGTGACTGTACTTTCAATTAAATAATGGAACTGTCTCTTCTCAATGGCGAGTGTCTTTTCAGGGCTTTTCGAGTACAGTCGCTTCCCCAAATAATCCTTCCCCCACTCCGCCCGCTCTAACTCCCCCTCCCATCCCTCATAAAAGCTCCGGGGGCTAAAGTGGCTAAAAGGTAAAGACAAAATAAAGTATCTTTTTAAAAGTTCTTCGCTCCGGGCTCCTTCCATTAGACACAGGCACGGGAAAGTCACTCAATGAATTATCCAAGGGGAAGGCTCTTTCCTATTTATTTCTTTCCTCCATTTCTAGATTGAACGGGATTCCCACCTACATCTTATTGCCTGCTAAGTTATTGAATCCATCCTCGATTGAATCTCGGGCTGGACAGTCTGCTCCATTCCATCTGCAATACACTCTGCGGGGCCCTTTAATGTTTATACTTGTGTACAAAAAGTTCTCTTAACTTTATCTCTCGTTTTATCCCTTCTGTTTCTTGTTCGGGAAATGAGGGAAGGAACCCGGATATAAAATAAATTAAGGTATAATATAAAATTCCTTTTATATAAAATTCCTGAAAAGCAATCAAACACAAACATTTCTGGAAAAATGTAATCAAGTTAAATTGTAAACGAAATACGGATAAGAGTAAAAGCAAAAAAAGAAAATAAATGCAATATTAAGTTAACCATGCCCTCGGGTATATAAAAGGTATGTCGTTTTCGGAATATTATTTTAAACGATTGGAAGATTTTTTGTGCTGTATCGGCTATAGCTCATATAATATCCTTCGAATTAATGTGATGCGGTATAAATAGATACATATGAAGATTAAGAAGTTTTTTCTTAAAACCGGTAATATTTAGTCATCAACTGACAGCTTATTTATTTGTTTGCGCTTTAAATATTTATTTTTACCTGTCAGTGAACTAGTGTCGATAATCAGCAAATGTGCTGAAGTACTGAAATACAAGAAATAATGACATATGAGGCATAGGAATGCAGTACTCAGCAGCACCTCTTCTCTGACTCGTTTTAATTACTTTAGTTGTCTAAGAAAGGAGATCTCTCATCCAACGCCTTTTAATCTCCTTCTCATATTCAGGAGTATGTCAGTTGTTGCCATGTCTGTTATTAATCTGTTGTAATGTCCTTTTAATTTTTTATAGAACGTTGGTATGGGGTCGTTATATATTTGTCGACTGTTGGAAGGTGGTCAATATGTAGAGTTTTGTTGGTCAAGTACCAAGGTGCTTTTGTTATGAGTCGCAATAATTTTGATTTGAGGTTTTTTTAGGTGAGTATTTTTAAAAATACCGTATATATACGACGAGTATGTCTATATGGATTTAAGTAAGTATGCATATGTATTCAGTTTCAGTTTTGATGATTTTGAAAAAAAAAAGGTTGAGTAGTTTGAGCCGACGTTTCATTTTCAAGTGCTGGTTACTTAATTTCAATTTCATATAAAGATTATTACAATTGTTTCGTATATGTATATTAACTATTAAAAGGTGGCCTTGATTATACATTGGATGCAAAAGTAATTAAACTAGCGCCTCAAAGGCGAGATGAGAAATGCCTAGCTGGTAAAAAATGCGCTGAGTGTGGGAAGAACCATCCCGCACAGCAGCCTTGTTCGCCCGTCAGCCTGCCTCTTGGATCAGCTAGGCGCAACATCATTGTTGTAATAATTGCCATCAAAGTTTGGCGAAATTCTTTCAATTATTTTATGACCAATAAAAACGTATTTTTTATTATCTCTTTTTCATTATTGTTTTTATATTTTAATATTGAAATGCTAGGTAATTAATTTAAAAGAAGATAATTAATTAGACCTTCATATTAAAAACTAATTAATTGTTAAACATTGTGAACCAAAGGGACATATTTCTACCATCTGATTTATTTATTAAAAATGAGTCGCTATATCCAAAGGGAAGCCTAATCAATTTTTATGAATATTGAGATAAGTTTAGATTCCTCTGTGAAACAACCCAACGACGGTAGAATTAATTTTTTTTTGTTCAAAAAACGAACCCAAATACTAAAAAAAGATGGTTTGAAAATAAGTTTATTTCCGAAACCGACCCTTTTTTAAAGGAATATCGTGAAACTTGTATTACTTAAGTATCAAAAGCTTTTTTAACCGTTTTATTCAAACGAAAATTAAAGGCAAATTTATTCTAGCGTACCATTATTATAGACAAAAATTAAATTTTTTATAGTACAACTTTTATCTCTCCGAATCATACATTATTTTTTCTTTTTAAAAGAGACCTCCATAAACTTCTTTTTTTTATGTTCCAGAACGGGCCTTGAAGTTTTTTTCATTCCAAAAAGAACCCTATTGAAATTTCATTATATTCTTTAATTACTACTGGAATAATCAGCGATTTTCGGAAATATGTTCCAGAAATAAAGCATTTCTTAATTTATTTTTTAAAAAATATTGGGATTTATATATTACAATTGCAATAAAAATAATAGTCTTTCGCGTTTCTTAAAAATTGCTAATAGTGATAAGGGTTCTATTTGGAAATAAATGACTCAATTTATATTACATACTAAGGTATAACTACTACATTAACTCATTTTAATCTATCCAAAAACATCTGATATAATATATTAATTTATAATTATCTAAAAATAAAAATTATTTTTTTAAGTCAAGTATAACGTTATTATTACACATCATAAGCAGGTAAAAAAGAGATGTTACTAAGAAAATCTTAAGATTATATTAAGGCGCTAAAAACTTTAAATTTAATGAAATAAAATGATGACCGTAATAATAAGAGTAGTTCACAGTAGTCCTACTTTTTTTTTTTTTACTTCCAACCTTTCAGCTCTTAGGCTATTTTCATGGGAAGAAGTCTATTTCAAAATAGAAATAAATTCAGCCCATACGAATTGATTTTTATTTTAAAATATAGTTCTTCCCTTGATAATGGCTTAAGAACTGTTGAATACAGAAAGAAAATAGGGTATTGTAATAGACTGTTGTGATTTTTGCGTGTTTTTATCTTTACAAACAAAATGAAGTCCTAACCTACAAGATTGAAATTTATATATTAATTAATTATTCCGTTGATACTGATAGGTATTGTTAGATGATTAGTAAAGGCCAAACAGTGAGTCATGGGTAGCCGTTGTGACTCTGGAAGTTGATAACCGAATGAAGAGATGTATCACTGCAATGTATCCAAGGGACGAAGATGATTGGGCATCGAAGCAAATGGGCGTCGGAGCGGCAATCGGACTTGGGTACACAAAGCCCAGGCCCCGTGAAATTGATTTGGAGAGGAGGGGATCTCCACTACTGGCCATTGCATCTTTTAACAAAATCACTCGTTGGTTTTTTCTTATTGCAGTTTCGGTTTCTTCTTCATTTCCATCTTCACGAGATCCCCATCCTCCGTGAACCGCGCGGTTTATGAGCCACTCCCACACCCCGCGACCGGCATCTTCTTTAATTATTAACGTCCCGGATTGTTTTACCTGTCATAAAAAAGGAGATCTCCCAAGTGCCGAACGGGCGGCTAAAGGAAAATTGTAACAAACCCAATCCAAGTTTATGTTCACTTTCTAACAGAATAAATAACAACAGAGCTTGAGGCCCGGATCTTATTATACCCCCCTCCCCGCTCAAAGCTTTATGGGCACAAGACGGTCCTGCTATCAATAAAAAGGAAACAGTTGGGGAAATGCTCATTCCTCAGCAACGCAATTTTCTTTACTCGGAGGAATAACTTTTTTTTTTTACTTTAACGATTGAATTAAAAAATTTGGTAGCTGTAATTGGAGTTTTATAGCTCGAAAACTTCCGGGATAGATATTCCTAGTTGTATGAATATACATTTCTCTAGGAATAAAGTTGTTTGAAAAAAACCAGCGCTATACCTAACCTCCAACCAGGAGGACCAGGAACTATTTAGACACACCGGTCGGTTACCTCCCTGTGAATCTCAGGGTAGAGACGTAACCGTCTCCTTGCGGGAATCGAACCCGCGCTAGTGGTCTAAGTAGTCAAGTAGGGACTGTACTTAATTACTTTAATTTATTATTAATTATTTTCTATTAACATTTTGGCAGGCGCCTTAACTCACTCGACCACCGCGGCCTCTAGTTATTATAATTAAAATAAGGTTTAAAGTGTGCTTTAACAGATATTGCTTATTAGGCGAAGTCATATAAAGATATTCAATACCCATTAATAATACCCAGTATATTCCTTACAGAATGCAACCTATACAATGTATGAAACGAATGATATTTTGCTCAATTCATTAATAAAGTAGTATGTTCATTAATAATTAATTCATTGCTATTCATGTGTGACAGAAATTTATTTCTATTTTATTCTTTTTGCTGTTATTTTACACGCAGTCTAATGAAACAACCACGAGAATGTCAAACTATTAGTTACAAAATATTAGTTACTTGACGATGTTTTATTGAATTTAGTAATTATGAAGATTGAATTAAATTGCTTGAAAAAAATTCTCTTTTTCAGTACCAATTGTTTGTATACATTTTATATAGCAAGTACATTTGGTTTTACTATTTAAAGATAACGTATTAATAAAAAAAATAATCGATTTTTGAAGGATCGAATTTGTCAATAGTTCATTCAATTGAAGATTCCAATTTTCCTCATTACAAAAAATCACAAACACATACCAACGTATGCGCTGTACACTTATGGAATTTGTTTTACACAAGTTTTTTAGTACATGAATATTAAATCGCAGGCTCTATAAACAAAAAAGACACTG